GATGACACAAACAGCTGGCACAACCAGGTGACATGACCGGATGACACAAACAGCTGGCACAACCAGGTGACATGACCGGATGACACAAACAGCTGGCACAACCAGGTGACATGACCGGATGACACAAACAGCTGGCACAACCAGGTGACATGACCGGATGACACAAACAGCTGGCACAACCAGGTGACATGACCGGATGACACAAAAATGTGACACACCCATACGGCGCACACAGGCGACACAAGCAGACCACACACATAGACGACACACATAGACGACACAAGCACACGACACACATAGACAAAACACACACTGACGACACAAACAGGTAACACACAGAGGCGGTTCACACAGGCTACACAAGCAGACGACACACACAGACGACACAAGCACACGACATTCATAGACGACATAAACTGACGACACAAACAGACACACAAACAGGTTACACCCAGAGATGGTACCAAAGGAAGGCGCACAAAGGCGGAACAAACAAACAAGATACACAGACGACAAACACAGATGATATAAACTAAACCGAAGACACGCAGACGACACAGACGATCTTTATAAATGTGCCGCTATTTGGTAGATTATCGATTAGAAATGACAGAAGTAGGCTTTGCTCTGCCTACACTTACACCAATGTTTCTACAACCCGTGCCGTAACGTATGCATACATATGCACACCAAAGTGTTTGTCAAGTAATCCAATACACTGCTGCTATTTTGGGTACGTCTGGTTTTGTTTCACCGATTTTATCAGGTGCTGGGGGAGGGGGGAGTTGTTTTGCATCCAGTGCGTGAGATTCGGCCTATCACATAACACATGCATAACAAAACCATTAGAACTGACAGAAGTAGGCCCTGCTCTACCTACACTTACACCAATGTGTCTACAACCGGTGCCGAGTGTAAAGTGGGTCAAAGCACACGGGCACATACCCCAGCCTGTTGTCTAAACGTAATGTAGATAAACAGAACGATATGGATTTAGAGATTGTAGATAGAAAAAAATATTGTTTGTTTTTTTTTTTTAATAAAAAATTTAGATTTCATGAAAGATAAATATAGCTATAAATATGTATAAATAAATAATTATAGATTTGGACTTTAAAAAAAAAAAAAAACCAAATTTAGATTTCATGAAAGATAAATATAGCTATAAATATGTATAAATAAATAATTATAGATTTGGACTTTAAAAAAAAAAAAAAAACCAACGCGAAGTTTTTTGTATCCTGGTATGTCACAACCCCACCCCCCTCTCCCCAAAAAACACACCAAAACACACACACACACACCTTTTAACTCTGGTTCCTTCACGACCTAAAGCTTATCTATAGCTTACGGCTTACACTTACAGGAATGACCTTGATAGTGTTAGTGAGCTGCTAGCTACGGGCGACAAGTAACAGCGGCCTCTCGGCATCCTGAGTCCTTAAGATTCTCAAAGTGTTCAACAACCGCCAACGTCAACATTTTTTAAATTATGTAGTCCCTATTTATAATAGAATTTGGATCTTGAGTTATAACACCATTTTTTTTTAAAATACGCAATCTAGTGATAATTAATTGATGTGTGTGTGTGTGTGTGGTGTTTATTTGTATTCTAAGTTTTAATCTGCCATAGATTGTCTTATTTTGTTTCCCCACCAACCCCCATTTTTCTCTCTGTTTATAATTTGTTTATAACGATAAAAGGGGGGACATTACCTTTTACAGTTATTTTTTTTTACGGTGGTGGGGGGGGGGGATGTTATTGTTTGGGTGGATCACTGAACCTGCATCCACCAAAATATCTGGTGCAGGGACCGTTGACCGACCGTCGACCGCTACGATTGTTCGCTTTATTCTAGCGACCGTGTTTACGAAAAACGGCTTGCCAGGTACTCGTAGGCTTGAACGTTGAAAAGAATTCCAAATATATGAAACAAACCATCGTATCACCTTGTTTGTTTTGAGAAACAATTTATTATTGTTACCATCTCATAAAATACGCTGATGTTTTTATTTGCATGATCTGAAACATGTTTCTGCATTCATGAAATCTATTAAGTCCCTAAATGACAGTTTTATATAAGGATATTGAACACCAGGAGAGTTAAGCGAATGTGTGCATTTGTTTGTTGTTGTAGTAATAAGGAGTGCATACTTTAGCAACAAATAATTTGAGACATGTTGGATGTTGCGATTTAAACCTGGCAAATGAAAGATTAATGTTTGACTTGGAAATATTAAGAATCTCTGATTAGTCTCTCAAAATGAAAGGTATGGGATGAGGGATGCATACATGTCGTACATGAATGTGACGTCACGATTGGTATCATGACACTCGTTCCAGTTGTTTTTAATGTTGCGATTCATCCCCACCCCACCCCCTACCCCGCTCCTTTTTCCAAATTTTTCTCTCCAAAAGCAACCAGCTTTTATTTCTACTAGATCTCTCAGTATTCATTAAATACCTAAGGGAAATGTCAAAAGATGGGGGAAGACAATAGTACATAATGTCAAATGTCCCAATAGCCAACAATGTACATTATGAAACTGACTTCCTGTGTTGTCACAATTTACTTATAGCATTGCTGGATATAAGAGTTATTTTTAACAAAATGATTGAGCTGCAAATATTCAAAACAGTCTCAGACTGGTGGATATATGTAATGAAACCTAGGGGGTAATAAGAGGGCGAACTCTCCAGGCGACAGTTTTGTTTTGGGGAAGGGGGATATACAACAATATATAAATGAACTGCGCGTGTGTGTTAGGGGCATACTTTTGGGACCCCCCCCCAAAATGGGCATATTGTCAAGGTGCATCACTGGTTATATCACTGCGTTATCGAGTTACAAGGCTGTTTCTTTATTTATTTGGTTGTATGGTTTCTGGTCTTATGGCTATTTGGTTATAGGTTTACATATTATATGAATGCGGGGCTATATGGCTATATGAAAACAAGGCTAAAGAGAAACAGGGTTTTATGTTACTGCATGGCTACCTCTACGAAAGTGAAATAACAACGCAAAGTTATGAGATGTGTCTTTTACACAATACAAAGACCTTAAAATAATTTTGAGCACTCTTCCTCTTCTTGCTTTTGTCGTCTGTTTTTCCACATGTTATTGTTAGGGTTGTTTTCATGTTTGGCATTTCCTGTTGACACACCTCAGTGACCATGGGTGTGTAAAGTCAAAAGTGACTACACAAGGTGAACCACGTCAAAGATGATATCAAAGCATGTGTACATACTCTGCTGTATACATTAGTTACCAGTATGGCTACATTTTCATGTCGGCTTCAAGATAATGTCATTGTATGTAGCATCAATTAATGCTTTTTAAAAAATGGCATCTATCTATCGCTCTTGACTTTCTTCACTTGATGGTCTCTGTTAATCCCCCCCCCCCACTTCCTCCTCTCTTTCCTTCTCTTTCTCTCTCTCTCTTTCTCTCTCTCTCTCTCTCTCTGTCTCTCTCTCTCTTTCTTTATATATATATATATATATATATATATATATATATATATATATATATATATATATATATATACATATATACATATACAAATGTATTTCTATCTATCCTTGTCCTCTTTGACAGTAATTTAAAATCGCAAAAACTGTGTGGAATCTACCCACCTATGTCCGACAATGTGACGTGCCTATTTCAATCTATTGACATGTAAACAAGTACAAAAGACTCAACGTTGGGTTCAAAATCCAATCCCCTTCCTTCTGACATATTTTGTTGTTATATTCATCTTTATGTTAGTATGCCAACCATCCTCAATCGATTGAACGACTTTCCGATTTGGTCATAAAATCTGTAACTTTGAAACGCCAAAGTGGCTCGATGCACAATGACCCACTTGGCGCACCGTGAGTCAGTCGCGAAGTCCCGCCCCCTTGGCTGTCACAACGAGGCGATGTGTATAAAAGCTCGCGGTTGCTTGTGATTGAACAACATTCTATAACCTGCACGGACCGTTGTTAACCTTGAATTAAGACTTTATCTCATCTACATAAGCGATTAGTTTTACAAGAGGAGCTATTTTATTTGGTAAGTTATAATTTTGTTTTCAATTATTTATTTTTATTAAATTATTTATTAATAAATTGAAATATGATGTACACTTAATCGGCATAGGCATAACTATTAACTATTAAATTATGATTATAACATAGTTTACATAGGCTTGCTTTTTTAAGTCTATACTATTAATTGCAATCATAGTCATAGATGACAGCATACTCATGCATCGTAAAAAAAGGACTAAAGTTCAAGGACAGTAAATGGTTAAAGCCTAAAGCTGACTGGAATTATACTGCCCGGTCTGTTGTCTTTGGACGCGCGGTACCGGTGCTAAGAGTAAGAGGTCGACGCATAAATAAAAATTTGCGCCCGGACATAAGATAACAATGACGATGGTTGGATCACATTTCTAAATGCTATGACTAGGACGGACAGTTCTCAGTCCCCTGACCTATACTTTTTATTTTGTTTTGTTTTCCTGGAGACATTAACCAACGGTGAACGGGGGGGGGGAGGGGGGGGGGAGCAGATATCAATCATAAAAATATTTCAGTTTTGTTGATCCCACAAGTTACATTGTTACAAGTACAAGGTTTCAAAACAGATGCCGCCACCCTTCCTAGTTCTGAAAAAAAGGGGGGGGGGGCGGAGTGTTGAAAAATTTATTATATGTGATAAAAGTAATGTGTTTAAGGTTTTATATTTATTAAAATAAATGGGTGCACCAATATTTATTTAATAAAGGTAAAGGGTGTTACTTTTTGTAATTGAATATAAACTACATGGGGTGGAAGGGGTTGTAAACGAATGTAGGTCTTGTGATCAATGGTCACTTCATATATAAAAGACGTGTATCTGAATATGAGTATGTGTCTGCTTGCATCAGTTACTGTCGGTCGCTTTCCAAACTGGAAAAAACCAGTATGAACCCATTTCATCAGAAAATAGACGCAGAAGTGGAGAAAAATCAATGAGAGGTAAAAACCATTCCAAAGGGAATGACACGGGAATTGTATAATTCGGGAATGCTATTTATTTATTTGTAATACATATGGTTTCTTTCGGGGCGTCCAGAATAAGCTTCAAATAGAGGCGAGGATGGTCAGTATGTAGGAAAGCTTTTGTGGATAAAAGATGGATTGCTCGTTTTCCGCTTTGACCCCCATCTGTGTGGCAACAGATTGGAAGCTCAAAACACCAGCAGATGATTCCGTGGGGGGGAAAGGGGGGAGGGGGTGAGGGAGTGGAGAAGAACCTTAAACGCAAGCAAGATGTCGGATTCGGTGGTGGGGGGGGGGGGGGGGCAAAGGAAATATGTTTTGTTTTGTTTGTTTTTTTAAATTAAATCTGGTCTCGTGACATTTCGTGTCTATTTGCTGATGGGAGCATGTGTTTGTGTGTAGGTGCTGCTGCTGGGGATAGGGGATCTGGAATTCTTGCTGTGGGCGGAAAGAATTTACCTGCTGGCACGGGTCACATTGTTATCGGCGTTCTGAAGTTCAACAGACGTACAGTATTAATACGTGTCACTCTAACTCTAACTGTTGTGTGTTTGTGAATCAATGGGTTAATGAAATGTCGTGCAGTTGTATAGCTCTAAGCAAAATCACTACAGCAGCAGTCGGTCTTTTAATACGCGACTATTGTTTAAAAGGGGGAGGGGGGAGGATAGTGGTTGTATTTACTCTGTCAGATTTACTACAATAAATAAAATTTTACCGGTATTTAATTATTTTTTTTTTGTTTGAAAATTAATTTATTTTAAATTGTTTTACAATACACAAAATGATCGAGTGCTTTGAGTGATGTATCCTTGCTGCCGTGTATCGATCTAAATTCAACCTCAACAATCTGCTCCTCCCCCACCTCCCTTTCTCAAGCGTACACCTTCAAATCCGATCAAATCACTGAAATGTTTGCCCTGGGCCTTAGATCAATGCAGTGGATTTAATGAGATCATGCCGTGGTACCCTGTGTTTGCTCGTGCTACCAGGAACTTTAATATGCTGTACTGTTTATAGTAGATAATCGTTTATACCCTTGGCGTGAAACCGAGTCGAGAGTCGCTTTTATAATATATAAATATCTGACTTGGAACTTAGCCTCGAAAGTAGGTAGTGAGGGCGCCTAGTTCAATTCTATGACTCATTTTTAAAAAAATTCCATTGAAAATGCTTATGCATCATTCTTCATATTACTGGGTACGGGGCATCCCTTCATCAAGTTAGCGATGACGTTTTCTAGACATTTCCACCAATGTGTTCTCCCTCCCCGTTCTGCGTGCTCCACGCCGATTGGCCGAGGCGTGAGAGTTCTAACGTGCACGGTCCTGGCAGATTGGTGTCAAATCAGTCGTCGCATTGTTTTGATTGTGTTCTGCAGTTTTTGGACTGTGACTGTAGATTTTGATTCAGGAATACGCGTTGTTTTCATCCGGGTTGGAATTTTTTTTACATTTATTTGCGAAAAGTGGGTGACACATTTCCATGTTGTTGTTTGTTTTGTTTTTTCAAATTTGCTGCTTTTTTAAACATGGGGTCAAATGTCTCATACCGCACCTGTAATTAATTATTAATTAATTATAAAGAATGAAGGTGTTAGAACTGTAAACTGGGAATTTTAAGATTAAGCTGCGGGGGATGATTGATGAACAGAAATGTATGCGACGTGATTCAAATTCAGCAGAAACGAAAAATAATCGTGTGAGAAAATCGTTCAAGGTTGTCCGTGAACCATTTATCTAGTAAGTCTAAGTAAGTGTTAGTGTTTTTACGCGTGAACACTGTTGTAACTATAACTAATAACTGGGGTAGAATAAAAGTAAAAAACATTTCAGGCCGATGTATTTTTAATATTAGGCGCTATCGGGTATTGGACCACATTTATGTTTATTAAATACAAAGTTCACCTGGCGAGTGTTGATGTTTTTTGTTTTTTTTTATATAATTTATAATAATATAATTTAAAATTTACGTTTTGCTCATTGTCATTTTTTTAATTCTATGCCTCATGCCCCTGCAGAAAGGACTTGACTGTAGTCTTTGACTGTATTTTTTTATTTTTTTTTATACTGTACTCACCGATGCTATCTTATGCGATTTTTTCTTTTTTATTTAATTTTTTTAAATAATTTAAATTACTTAAAGACCCAGTTTACTTTAAGTGAAGTCTGTTTATAGTGACGTTGGGGTGGCTTAATGAAGTAAAATAGGTCAATTGTACATAAAGAGTTGTCAGACAAAATAAAAGCCAACATGTAGTGCAACTTGGCCAAAAATGACAGTGGTGTCCTGGCTAATGTAAAAACATGTTAAGATACTGTGTCCTGAGATTGCCATTAGCAGCGGTTCAGTCAAAACATACACATTTAAAGCTCTGCTTGTGATATATAACGAAGTATTAACTCATGACTAGGTTTCTACTGGATAGTGGCATCTTTTTTTACTTACAATGAAACATAATTGTAGAAACGAGACTTGCCAGCTTTTGTTCCATTTACGACGTCCAAGCTTCCAAAATATGATGCTAACGTTTTATTTATTTTTATTTTCAGATATCTGATACAAGACCTTACCCGAAAATTTCCATCATTGCAGCCATGCTTCTCAAGGAGTACTCGAAACTCTCAGCAACTGTTGTACCTTACAGCACAACGCTTGTGGACGGACGCAGCGTCATAGTGGACGCCATGACTGAATCTCAGGTCCACGAAATGTACCTGCTGGTCCAAGAGGCTGCCAACTCAAGCCAGGGTTTTGGTGCTGACGAGTACAATTCTGAAAAAGAGTTTCTCGAAGACATCTCCGATGGCTTCCAGTTCGCCGTCATTGACAAAGACTCTGGTGAAATGGTGGCTGCGTTTGTTTTGGCAATTAGCAAATACTCCAGAGGCTGCCTGGTGGCAGACCCCTTCATCATAGTCAAGAAAAACATGCGCGGCTGCAGGCTCGGCACATTTTGCATGACGACGTGCGTCAAGTTTGCCAAGGACCTGGGCTTCATGGGGATCTACTGTGATACATTCAGCAACAACACTGCAGTGATCAAAATCGTGGAGAGCATTCCGGGCTTCCAAAAAGTTGGCTGTCTTCCAATGGGAGGCCTCCTTAAAGATGGGAGAATAGTTGGTTCGGAGATATTTTATAAAGATCTTCGCAGTGACAGAGGTTAAGCACTGCCTGCTGTGTACGCCCCCCGGTATGAAGTAGCTCTTATCCACTTCAACAGCCCAATGTACCCAGACGAGATTTGAATTGGGAGCTCTGTGATGTTGCGCAACTAATCACCTGTAACGTCACACCTCCTCAAAATGGATGTTGAGAACTGTAAAGTTAAGTTGAAAAAAAGATCATATCCACAAACTGAATCTCTGAATGGATATAAGGCCCACTCTGCTGTTACCTACCATGTCCCATGATATTGGGATGAATGTAGTAGCCCAGTACACCGGATACATCATGGTTGTGATGGTCGTTAAGGAATGGTAATGACTGGTGTGCGTTCTGCAACAAACATCATCAGTGGAAATGACTTTAAATTTGTACAGTGAAAATTTCCACCCTTGGTATTTGATGACCGAAGCAATGCAGCCGACACCAGCTGGTTATGTTACGAGTTTAGAAAGAGCTTGGAACTATCAGTCTCTATTGTTCTGTGACATTAGTCCAGCAATGACATTTTTTATTTATTTAGTATTTAGTTTATGTGGTGGTAATATGTTGGCCATGTGTTATTCAATTTGATTGTTGATTTTTAATTAACATTTTTTAATTGTAGTTTTTTTTTTAAATTGTTACATTTGTTGAACTTTTCCAATTATTTGATGATTCTTTTTTTAGTTTTTCAAATATAAAAATATATTTTTATACTATTTTTAACATGAATTTTAAGTCTTTCAAAAAAAAAAAAGAGAGAAAATCTTGATTTTAATTCAATAAAATAATTTAAAAAGAATTGCTTTCTTTGTTCTTTACTTTTTGTGGTTGTTAAAATTAAAAAAACAAAATTATGTCACAAATAAGATCACTGAAACTATATTACTTTAAAAAATGTCTCTTGAACTTGAATGCATTTTAAAACAGTTGAATACAACTAAATACAGCGGCATACATTACTTTAAACAGTAATGAAATAAATTTTACTTGATTAAAAAACTTAATAATACTGGTACAGTTTTAAAATGCTGAAGCAGCTTTGTCAGAACGACTTATCTTAATTTGGGCTGGAGAAATGAAAAGGATAATGGATGATTTAAAGTACCGGTAGGCTACTTTATTCATCTCAAATAATTAATATTGATAATAAATGTTGCCCATTTCAATGGAAATCAGTCTTAAGTTTATGTTTGAGTTTTACAGGGAGCTTTTTGTATCAGGTCTGCCATTCTTTGGGTGTGCCATTTTTCAGGTCTGCCATTCCCATAGTGGAACAAGGTATGTGGACGCTTGAACTATAAGGACAGGACAATAAAAAGAACTTCCTCAGCATACAGGGCTAATGAAGAAATAACAAGAAATAGTAACTAGTTGAAAAGTGTTTGCCATTATCATTAATGTTATTGTCCGAAGTTGGGTTTTCAAAAACCAAGATTGCAGGACGTCGTTCATACTGAAGCCAGCAGTTCTGTTAAGTTAACAAATTTCACTGCATCACTAATTGTACTTAACTAGTACCTAAACTACACAAAAATCAGAAAATAGGAATCATTGCGGACATTATGAAGTTTGTCAATAAAAAAACAAAATTAATCTGTAAGAATTAAGTGAAAACTGCATGTTTGAATATTAAATAGAATTTAAAAGCCTTTTTAAAAATAGAATAACAAATCTTTCCAAAATGTATTAAAAAAAAAATCAAACTGGCAAACTAAAACTAAAAGGTTTTTTTAAAAGGTATTTGAAAACATATAGCCATATAATTTACTTTAGCTACCTACATTAAATGCTGGCTAGGAGGGGCAGTTTACACCTGCAAAAGACAGGTGAAGAGATAACCTATTGTTCAGACTGCTAAAAGAAATGAATAAATAATTCATAATTATGTTTTTAATAATTTGTTTTTAATCTTAACAACATTAGATCTATCAAATCATATTTAAATTGATATTTAAAATAAAGCACAAATAAAGAGGTAAATATATTTACAAATAAAACAAAATGTGACTCAAATTTAATTTGTGTGAAAAATTTATTGCAGGGCTCCATCCATGTGTTAAGCAACAATAACATTTCTGGGACTAAGGGTTGACATCTACTGATTTAAGGTGTTTAACATAAGCTATAAAATAGTAATCTAGGTGTACAAATGAGTACACCATTTATTGCAAGCTGCCTTACAAATGCTTTATTTAGATGTATAGTATTAGTATGTGAAACTAAGCTGGGGCCTAAAGAATAACCTGGGGTGTGCCACAATTCAGGTAATATATGGCGTCGTTACGATGCCTAATTTGTGCACTGATAGAAAAGAACTAGGCCTACTTACTTCTCACTTTCGCTCGGGAGCCAAAGCCACCCTCAATTTCTTCCCCAATTCCCTAATCAAAATAACAATGTCGGTATTTTGTTAGCTAAATGAAACAACAACAATAAATGTTAGTATTTAAGATGAGTTTCTTGAAAAGACAAATATATTATTATTTTCCTTTAATTGTGCATAGATGTGTGTCAATGTGTCAATGTCACTAAGTCTATGACTATGTAGGTAGCTGGGGCCAAAAATGTTCCCGTCCACTTACACACAAAAACTGCAGTAATCCGAAAATGCCACCCCTTTATAAAAAGAAAAAAAAGGACCGCCCCTCTGGCCTCTCCAATGCCTGTCCATCAAAGTCATTGTCTTTAGTCTAGTGTAACAAGTCTTGTCTATTCATTTAGTAGTATTTAATTAAAAATGCGAATTTTTTATAGTTATATTTCACAAGGGAAGTCACTTTAATTATTTTAATTATTTAATATCGTGTTGTTTTTTTAATTAATAAGTTGCTGGTTTTGTGATGAATCACAGTGGGTATTGTTGTGTTTGTTGATGACTGTAATGTGGGTAGGTCTTTGTTGGCCTTCTTTAGTCTTCAGTAGTCAGTCTCGGCACTCTCGCCGAGCCTCAGCTGCTCAACCTGAGTCTAGTTCCAAGTGTAAGTCCTAGGAAACAAACTTCATTATAAAACTAAAACTGTTGGCAATATCTTCTACCACTTGAGCGTAGGCCCTTGGCCCTTCTTAGCCCTTAACTAATGCAAAAATCATGTCCTGGTTTGAAATGCTATCTAAAATAAACGGTTATTGTTTCATTGATAAGATAAAAGGCTCTTGTGAAGAGATAGCATCCTGACGTCATTTGCGTGTTTTGTCCCTGGTTCCGATAGGGTCAAAACCATGGTTCCGATAGTGTCAAATCCCAGGTTAGGGATAAGTTTAGGGTTCAGGTTAGGTTTAGGGTTCAGGTTAGGTTTAGGGATAAATTTAGGACATAAGTTCGCCATGGTAAAAAACGCGGTGCTATCTCTTCACATTTACCAGATAAAATTCTTTTATTGATTCAAATGGAAATGTTTTTTATGACATTGTTTCATTGTACACATTCATTTCCTCAACGCTTATATTATATAAAAATAAAAAAACAACATTTTAAAACAGAAAAATTTAAATAATTAATATTTAATAATTTTACAAGTATAAAAATTAAACAATTAAATGTATGAAAAGAAAGAGTTGTAGTTTATATTATCTCCATAAAAACAATAGCGAGATATGAACTCATGCAAATATGAAGGGAAAAGATCACGACTTGTGTTTTGAACTGTGTTAAACTGACTTTTTAGTTTGCGCTTTGCATGCATCCTCATATTTTCAACAGTCTGTGTGTGGACACCAGTGTCATTTGGATTGAAAAAATTTTGTTGATGAACAACAACGAAGTGTTCATAGATTCCATGTCTGATCTGGTTTATGTTTGCATAAGCTGCCCAAATGTCTGATAAAATTAGTGAGCCTGGAAGGATATATCTCTCTATGCTCTCCCGTAATGTGATCGCACGATGGTATGACACTTCAACGAAAAACAGCACCCGTTCTTTCTTTCTATGCCACCAAAAACCCAGTGGCTATCTGCACTGTACTATTAACGGATATCAATAAAAGAATTTAAATAGCACTTCAAGCCTGAACAACAAGATTTATTCATAACTGATGCTAAAGTGGTAGATTACCATAGTGTTTGTTCCTGACCAACTATTTACTCCACCAGTGGGGATACTGGTAACTTGTGGTTCAATAATAATACATTTATCAAACATTTCAAATATTTGTGATAAAATCAAGATCCATGGCACTCACTGCATCTTTCAGATTTTTACCTATTTTCATAGGTGTGTGTGTGTGAGGAGGGAGGGTGGGGTTCAGAGGACAATTTCATCTATCACTGATGGTACCAGCGCTGAAATTAGGCATAATGACTCCAGCACCCCATCTCCCCACAGCTTCATAAACTGATTTTATTTCCGTTTGCAGCACATGGAGTCTTAGTTTCACGCCTAAAATATATGACCATATTGTCCAACTATGTATTAGTACTTAACTGTGACTTGTAAATGGCAAGCCATCCAATAAAAAATATTGGTCTGGTTTCTTTATTCAACAGTAAAACTATTATTGTGGCCAAATAAAATCAATTTAGAAATTTCTGTGGTTTAAAAAAAAAAAAATAAATGTTTATGCCAAAACATTGTGCACTGTGAAAGTCTTAATCTTCTTTCAACTTTATTTTTGAAAATAAATGCATTCTTTTTGGGTGGTCTCAACAGGGATACTGTTTCTTCCAGGAGGCAGTTGAAATTGACATGAAGATGTCAACACAGAATATGAGTCAAAGTGGCGTCTTGACGATATGTGTCAAGTTAGCCATCAAGTCAAGTTAACCATCAAGTCAAGTTAACCATCAAGTCAAGTTAACCATTATTTCAAGTTAACTATCATGTCAAGGTAAGTGGTACGGATGATTTTATTTTTTATTCACCATTGAAGCATGCCAGGTTTTGATTGGTTGGGTTAGCTAGTAATTGGTATATTTTGGGGTGGCTACATTTTGCCAACACAAGGATTATCAACTTTTTATTTTTTGATACTGCAATGAAGAAGTTTTAGAAAATTGTAAGTATGACTCTTGGGATTTCAAAAAGTATTTAAAATTGTTATTATGTTAATTTATTATTTTCATTATTTTAAATTTTATATTTCTGATTATGGGATTTGAGAAAAGGTGTTTTTTTTATCTAATATTTGTTGTAAAAAATTTAATTAAATAAAAATGAATTATCTATTTGGCCAAAACATTAACTCAACTTTATGGGAACAATTGTTTGTAACAAATTATTGGGACAATATTAGAACATCAATTTTTCTTATTTATTGGTAAGAAAGCAATCACAATAACTGCCAATTAGCTTGACCAAAAATTTTAACAAATTTTTAAATATAGAATCTATTTTCAATAAACACATTTTAAAAATAAATCTGTTCTTTTTTTCTTCTAACAGCTATTCCTAGAAGGCAATGGAATGCTACATGCTGGCAGATATCTGTGCCTGAAGTGAGCCCTTGGCCTGGTCATCAGCAATCTATATCTGAAGTGGGTTCTTGGCCTAGTCAGCAGATGTCTACTGTATTTTACGGACTATAAGACGCACCATAATTTTAAAGCAATTTTTTTTTTTTATAAAATTTTTACCATCTTTATATTAGTTTTGACTATAAGTCGCGCCTAAATTATGGACGCAATTTTTCGAAGAAAAAAGTGCATCTTATTATCCGTAAAATGCGGTCGATCTGAAGTGGGTCCTTGGCTTGGTGATGGACAAGAATGGGTGATGTTAAGTAAGTTTTGATAATAACAAATTTTTTAATCTTGTTTTAATTTAAACAAAATACTAAATGGAAACGTTATATTTAATTTAA